TAAAATAAAAAAATTTTTGAAAATAACAAGTGTTGAGGAAAATGGAGATAAATTATAACCCTCATTTATTGTTGATGGGAATGGAAAATGGTGCAGTTGCTGTGGAACTTTGTTGGTTCCTCAAAAAGTTAAACATAGAATTACCATGTGCTCCAGAAATTGTACTGCTAAATATATACGCAGAAGAATTGAAAAAAGGTGTTCAAACAATAATTTGTATGCTAATGTTCATAGCAGCTCTATTTGCAACACCCCAAAGAAAGAAACAACACAAATGTCCATCAATGGATGAATAAATAAACAAATATGATTTATTCACACAATGGAACATTATTCAGCCATAAAAAGGAATGAAGTTCTGATTCATGCTACAGTGTAGATGAACTTTGAAAACATTGCTCTCAGTGAAAAAAGCCAGACACAAAATGTCAAATATTGTATGATTCAATTTCTATAAAATATCCAGAATAGGTAAACCCAAAGAGGTAAAAAGCTGGTTAGTGGTTGCTAAGGGAATGATTGTTTAATGGTTATGGGATTTCATTTTGAGATTACGAAAATATTCTGTAATTTGATGGTGGTGGTGATGCAAACTCTGTGAATGTACTAAAACCCACTGAATTGTATATATTTTAAAATGATGAATTTTATGGTTTGTGAATTAAATCTCAATTATAAAAAAACCAGTGCCTAAGACCTTTCTGAAAAGTCCACCCTCAAAACTCCCAGATCCCTGCTGGTTGAGGAATATGGCCTGGGGGGAACTGGTCCCCTCTCAGTGCTGGCTTCTGGCTCACAGTCTCTGGGGAGGACAGGGAACTGAGTGTGGGCACAGAAAGTCCTGCCCTTTCAGGGGGAGGAGGAGTGGACAGAAGGTGGGGAGAAAATGCTGATCAGGCACACAGAGAGACGCAGCTGTACACAGACCAAGGTGGGGGCTGGTGTGGCTGGAAAAGGAGGATAATGCATTCCCATCTTTCCTACCCGTCTGTCTCCAGCCGGTCACCCAGTGGTTAGTCCAGTTCTAGAACTTGAAGGAGAAGGCCATGACACAGATGGGCTGGATGTACTTATTGTAGGTGACAGAGGAGGTCAGCCTCACCAGGGCAGTGTCGTTGAGTGAAGACCCCTTGAAATGAGGGTACATAATAATGTCCCACACTGTGAAATGATGGTAGAAGGCCCTCAAGTTCCAAAGAGATGGCCTGGAAGACAGCTCACCAAACTGGACCATCCAGTTCGAGGGATCCCTGTGCCTGGCAGGGGAGGAGAGAGCAGACAGGGGTCCTTAGTGAAGTGTGGGCCACCTGAGCGCACCTGAGGCCCACTCCCTGAGGGAAGACTGCCCAGGCTGCTACTAGGGCTCATCCTAGACACCAAGAGCAGTTCTCCTTATGGGACAAAGTGTCCAGTGAAGAAATGGTGAGAGCCGGAGAGCAACCAAAACCCCAGAACCTGGGGACTTGGGGGCTGGGGGTAGGGCAGGAGGGTGCCTCCCCCTGTGGTCTGATGTGGGCAGACATTCAACCAGCCTGTCCACTCTCAGAGCCATCCTAAAAAAAGAACGAGCAGATGCACAGGTGCCAAAGTGGGACACTCAGCAGAGTGGAGTCAAAATAGCTTCAGAGGCTACTGCCGCCACAGGCCGGGCTCCGTGCCCAGCACTCACCCACCCCAGCTCCTTCCTGCCACCTGTGGTACACCTCCACCCGGAGGTGAGAGGAGGAAGGTGATGGCTAGTAGTGCCATTTGGGGAGAAGAGAACAGGAAAGAGAAAAGTGGGGTGGAAGCTGGGTGCAGGGGACAAGGGGGGGATGGGGGACATCTGTAATATTCTCAACAATAAAATACATTTTTTTAAAAAAGGAAAGAAGGTTAGGAGAAAGGTCATGTGGAGAAATTATATGAGAAAAGCCTCCCCTGCCCCCTTCAACATATGGGTAAAGAACATTTAAGGAGGAAATATGTAGGTACATACATATTATCATTGGGTTCTTTTTTTTTTTTTAAAAAAAAAAGATATCCTGGAAAACAAAAAGAATGAGTTATTTTTACTCTGTTGTAGAAAATAAGTAGAAAGAAACTAAATAAAGATTTGGGCACTGAACTTGGGAGAAAAAAAGAAGAAAGAGAAAAGAACAAGACACAAATGTGAACAGGAATATTCTAGCAGATGCTTCTTTTTTTTTTTTTATCCTCACCCGAGGATATTTTTCCATTTTTTGTTCAGACAGAGCGGGAGGGAGAGAGAGGAAGAGAGAGAGAGAGAAACATGGATGTGAAGGGACACATCGAGTGGCTGCCACCCGCACGACCAACCAGGGCCGGGGACAAACTGCAACCGAGGTACGTGCCCTTAGCGGGAACCGAACCCGGGTCTCTCTGTACCGCAGGGCGACGCTCTAACCGCTGAGCCAAACCGGCCAGGGCGAGCAGATGCTTCTGGAAAAAAATGAACAGGGGCACCACTGGAACTCGTATGGGTGTGACCAGCTGCAGCAGAGCCTGGGGCTCAAGAGAACACGGGGTCACATTTGTGTAAGACGTGCGCGATGCAGACCCAAGGACCCAGCTCTGGGCGGCCGCACCCAGCCCGCAGACCTACTCAGCCGGCGCGCGCCTTTGTGAAGGCTCCGCGGGCTGACCTGCCAGGGCCAGCGCCCGCGAAGTCTTTCCCGTCCACTTGGAGACGGTGGATGTTCTGGTGGCCACATGGCTCTGAAATGGACGGACGGACATGCAGCTGAGCAGCAGGACACAGGCCCACCTACCCGCCTCGGCCCCAGGGAAACCGCGAGCGCACTGGGGTTGTGCAGCCTGGGGAGAAGGGGACGCTGGGGACCCTTCCCACGTGGTCTGCGCGCCCCCCCCTCCCCAAGGGGCTCATCAGTTACCTGTGAGCCTGGAGAAGTTCTCAAAACCTGTGACGAGAGAAATGAAAAGATAGGGCGCCCTTTGTGTTCTGGCCTAGGTGCCTTGAGCGGGGAAACGCGCCTTACCTGGAAACCGCTGGTTCTGATCCTGCAACCCTCGGTGAGGCGAGAAGGTGAGCTCCCCTCGGTCTCTATGCTCCCCATCCTTCCCCTGAGACCCCCTAAGTCCGACCCGAGCTCACCCTGCATCTCGAATTCAACTCGCACCAACAGCTGCGCCAGCGAAGGCAGCCAGACTCCAGCGCTCATTCCTCCGCTCGGCGGCTTGCCGCCCCCTGTGCCTCTGCCTGCTCCGGGGCCAGCGCTGGCGCGCCCTGGGGGAGAGGGAGCAACAGCAACCCTGGTGCCACCTTTTCCCAGCGTGACCTCTCAGACCTCACAGCGCCCCAGCTTTGAGTTTCTCCTGGGGCTGGGTTCCCAACTACACCCCTTGATATAACGCAGGAACTAGTGAATCCAAACAATCCTTTTCTTGTCTGCAACTCTGGGATCCTGGCTGCCCCTTTAGCTGTCCCCTTTTCTACCCACTCCTCCCTCTAGGAAGGACCAAGGCCCTAGCCTTTAACCAAGACTCCCATGAAAGCACACCACAAGTCCTCCCTGAGTGCCCATTGGGGGCCTAGCATTGTGTCACTTCTGTTAAAGTGATGATCCTTTATAGGACCCACAGAATAAAAGCTGGCCTGATTTTGACCACTAGAGAGAGCTCATAGCCTCCCTCCATGTCTGTTTGCTGTCCTGCAACAGGCCCCAACTAACTACACAGACTCTACAGGCAGTTTTCCTTTCTGGTGGGCAATGTGCAGGCACCAAAATCAACAATCTGGGTCTTCAATGATAGATGTGAATGGACACCAAGCTGGGTCCACAGGACTATCTTCAGAGTCAACAGTTCACTAAAAGGATTCACAGAACGCAGAAAAATTATTATACTCGTGGTTATGGTTCATTACAGTGACTGGATACAGGTAACATCCATAAATGCAAAAGGTGCAGAAGACGGAATCCAAGAGAGACCAGATGCAAGCTGCCACCCCTCCTCCCTCAGTGGAGTCAAATGGATAGTGCTGAATCCTCCCAGCAATGACTTACAACAACACATATGAAGTATTGCCAATCAGGGAAGCTCACCTGAGCCTTGGTGTCTAAAGTTTTTCTTGGGGTTCCATCACATAGGCATGGAGTAACTGACCCTAGTTCTCAGACTCCAGCTGGCCCAGAAGTCCAACTGATACAAAGTGACCAAGGTTCCACCATAAATCACTATCTAGAGTGGCATCAACTATCTGGAGTGGCACAAGGCTCCACATCTACAAAGACACTCTTTTCTGGCAGAACATTCCAAGAGCTCAGAGGTCATCTTGTAAGAGTTGGTCAAGGGCCAGTCCTTTCTTTGGACGGTGCAGGTTTGAATATACAGGCCTGTTCACTTAAACTTTTACTGCACAGCAACCAAGGACGAAGAAATGTTTGAGAAAAATCTGCACGTGTACCAGAAGGATCTATTTGAATAAACTGAACTGACTCCAGAGGGAACATCAGACAACTTGGAAAATTCTAACTGGTATCCTCAGAAAGCTTCAAGAAGTGTTGATAATCATTAAACAAGAATTAGGTGGGAAAAGAGCAATCAGAGGACAAGAAACAGTGTTTGAAAATTTAAAATATTGCTGAAGTAGAACATTCTAGACAAAGAGCTGAATAATAAAATGGACTTTGCTAAAGAATACATTGGCTAACTTGAAGATAAGGTAGAGAAACATGGTCAGAACTTAGAGCAAAAATTTTAAAAGGGCAGCTTCCAGGAGAGAAAAATGTAAAGACATGGAGGGATCTAAAGATTGGTTTTATAGATACAGACAACAGTATGGTGGGAACCAGCGGGAAGAGGGGTAGGAGGGTAGTAAAGAGTAAAGGGGGACAAATATATGGTGACAGAAGATTTGACTTTGGATTGTAAACACAATGAAATATACAGATGATGTATTATGGAATATTACACTTGAAACCTATATAATTTTATTAATTCATATCACTCCAATAAATTTAATAATAATAAAAAATTAGGTGCTCGCTTCGGCAGTACATATACTAAATTGGAATGATACAGAGATTAGCATAGCTCCTGTGCAAGGATGACACACATATTCATGGAGCGTTCCATATTTTTAAAAAATCGGTTCTATGTTGATAATCGTTTAAGCTGAGTGACAGATGCCAGGTGTTCTTTGTATTTGTCTACATCAGTGTGTATTTTTAAATGTCTATAATAAAAAGTGTTTTAGGTTTAAAAAAAAAAGGTTGAGAAAAGACACAGACCAGGCCTGGCTCTAGAATCCCCATTAACAGATCATTAGAAAGGCAGGTATGTACTTGGTGTTGATTCCATGTACTTTAGGTATCAGTCTCCAGCCTCTGAACCATCCTAGATCATGTAAGTCTGAAGATAAAGAAGTATGTCCTCGCCTGGCCGGTGTGGCTCAGTGGTTGAGCGTCAACCCATGCACCAAGTGGTCACTGGTTCAATTCCCAGTCAGGGCACAGGCCCAGGTTGTGGGCCTGATCCCCAGTGGGGAGCAAGCAGAAGGCGGCCAACGATGTTCTCTCTCATCAATGTTTCTATCTCTCTCTCCCTCCCCCTTCCTCTCTCTCTAAAAATCAATAAAGAGAAAAACAAAACAAAAAAAGTATCTCATCCACTTTGTATATTCTGAAAGTAACATCAGCAGAAACAGGGAACATACTGAACCCAGGTGAGAAAAACATTTTAGAGTCAAATAATTTGCTGGGTGTCCTAGTACATTTGGACTGCTATAACAACCTACCACAAAGCAGGTAGTTTATCAGCCACAAACATTTATTTCTCACAGTTCCTGGACTGGAATTCTGAGATTAAGTTGCCAGCAGATTCACTGTCTGGTGAGGGCCCTCTTTCTGGGACGTAGATATTGCCTTCTCTCTGTGTCCTCACATGGCAGAAGAGGAGAAGGGTCATTCTGGGGTCTCTTTATAAGGGCACTAATCCCATTCCTGAACGCTCTGGTCTCATGACCAAATCACCTTCCAAAGGCCCACCTCTAAACACCATCACTCTGGGGGTTAGGATTTCAACACATGAATTTGGAGGAGTGGGAGACACAAGCATCCAGACTACAGCACCTGGGCTGTGCATATTTTAACTCCTCAATATAATACTTAGCAAGTGATCTGATACCTGTGAGCACAAAAAAGATGATTGAATGTATGTGAGTTCTAAAAAACTCATTGATGATTATGGTAAGGAGTGTTGTGATGTCTTTAAACCAGGTTAATTATGAAATGAGCTGGCTCTTACATAATTCTGGTAATCTAGGAATTCTCAAACAATCTCAGACAAGTAGAAAATAGGATGTGTCTTCATCCCCATAAGGTACAATGAATCATTAAAAAAACTTTTTTGTAGTCACAAAAATCAATGATACTGTTAATGGAATTAGTTTACTACTTACTTTACAAGTATTCTAGTAAGTATATTCCAATAAGGCCAAGTAAGTTAAGAAATTTAATTTTTTCTACTTTCTAAATAATATAGGAAAGGGGTGTGAGAACTATACAAATCAACTAACTTCAAACAGAGTTTTAAGTCAGGGGCCTGCTACGTGCTGACCGACCCTCGCTGACTGGAGAGGCAAGCAGACCACTAAGAGCCTTTGGACAAAGAAAATTCCTGCAAAGACTGATTAAGAGCTCCTCACCTGTACCTTCCTGTTCACCACACCGTAAAGGGAGAACAGACCACAAAATACACATGGTAAAGGTTAAAGTTAATCCCAACGGTTTTTTCTACTCTGGTATGTTTCCCCATACCAGGAATGTTCCATAGAAACTGCAAACAGATAAAAGCTCAACCTCTAGAGATGGTTGGGGTCTCTCTTCCTTCTCTTATGAGGAGAGACCGCCACTCTATCTGTGAAGTGGCTTTTCTTGCTTGTCCTCTCTGCTCAATAAAACTTGCTTTTCTACTTTAACCCCTTGTCTGGCTCAAATCTTGAATTCTTTTCTGTGTAGCCAAGAACCCTCCCTCTGGCATCATAAATGTTTTATTTTCCTTTTGTTTTGATTCAAAGCAATATATTGGTGTTGTGGCAGGTTTAGCTCACTGGTTAGAGCATTGGCCCATGGACCAAAATGTTGATTCCTGGTCAAGGGCACGTATCTGGATTATAGGTTTGATCCCAGACACGGTCGGGGTCCTGTGGGCAGCAACCAATCGGTGTCTTTCTCTCGCATCGATGTCTCTTTTAGGCATAATTTTAGCCTAAATCAAGCCTCTGTGCCCCCCACCAAGGGTAATAAGCCTTGTGGAGGGAGAGCTGCCTGGAGGCTAGGTTGATGGGGTGGCGGAACCAGAGGGATGGGTACTTTTCGGCAAGTGGAAACAACTTAGGAATCAGGAGAAGACTCCCACTGTCCTTCCCCGCAGTGCTCAAGGCTGATCAGCTCTTTCTGGCCCACGCAGCTTCTGTGAGGCCCCTGACCAAGAGGCCTGGGTCACAGCTGCAGGACAGGGACGATGGCCACCAAGGTGCCTGCTATTTGACGCCAGAGGAGAATAGCATTAGGGCATCATCTTCTCAGGTTGAGAATCCCTCACCTCCTCCAGCTACTCCACCTCCTTGAATAAAGGGTCCCTTCTCAGGACCCAGACATCCTGATCCACCTCAGGCCCTCGAGAGCCCCAGGTTGAAAGTGAATGCTTGAGGGTGCAAAGTGGGATGTGCCCCAGAGTCTGCAGTTCTACTCCCCACCCCCACCCCTCCCAGGGGTGCTGAGCACCACACATAGCACCCGGTAGATTTATCTGGCTTTACCACCTGTAGGGCTTTGAGCAAGTCCTTCAACCATCAGAGCCTCGGTTCCTCTGCTGTAGGTTGGGGATCATAATAGCTCCTGGGAAATCAGCCAATAGGTACATAGCATGTTGGCAGAGTGCCAGCATACACTAACTGCCCTGTCGTTAGTGGGAGAGGTTGGTACTGTGATGCCAGGGCCAGGACCGGGGAGGGAAAGCCTGAGGGTCCTGCCAAGATGTGGATGAGACCAGGGTCCCTGTGCCCAGGAACAGTGCCAGGGCCAGAGGCCTGAGGATATGGAGTGGAGGTATCAGCCCCACCCCAGGGTGAGCCCGAAAACTTGGGCTCGAGCTGCAATCATCTTTCCTGTGCTAAGTGTGTCTGAGGACTCTGACCCTAAGAGCCAGCCCGGAAGTGGCAGCTGGAAGGTACCATGGAGCTGACCCTCATGATCATCCTGTTCTCCCTCCTGCAAGGAAGCCCTTCAGCTCTCCTATTCAACCTCTCCCCGACAAATGCCACAGCGATAAACCTGGACTCAGGTAGGACAAATATCAGGGTGGGAGACAGGCACTGCAGGAGAAAGAGCCTGGGTTTCAGGGGACAGATGAAGAGAGGTATGTAGTCCCAGCTCCGCCCTGGTAGCCTTGTACTTGGGTAGGTCCCCTAAGAAACCCAAATGTTGGGGCTGGGATCCACTCCCCCATACACAGCGCCCTCATGACTTCCACCAAAATCCTACTACCAGGAGCATTTTGTATCACATGCCCTGCCCTGCATTCAGACCCCCCTAGAGCCCCGGCCAAGCTGGTCTGGCCTTCTTTGTCCCCACTAAGCTGGGCTGAGCAATCCAGGCCCCCAGGTCTCACCTTCCCCAACTCAGCTGCTGTGCACCTCCCCCCAGGATCATAAGTCCTCCCTTAAAAAGAGGGTCCTGCATCAGAGGGAACAAAATGTCAGCTCACAAGGGGCAGGGATAAATGAGGGCGAGTCTGTAGGGTGAAGAGAGCACAGAGGGGACCTGGTATAACTCAGAACACTGCCTTACTCTGCAGTGTGTGGACGCCCACGTGCATCAGGCCGAATCCTGTCAGGGCAGGATGCCAAGCCGGGCCAGTGGCCATGGCAGGTCAGCCTGAGGGAGTATGGACAGCATGTGTGCGGGGGCTCCTTGATCACCGAGGACTGGGTGCTGACTGCAGCTCATTGCTTCGACCGGTGAGGATCTGAGCCATGGCCAGCTGGGACCTGTCCATTACCCCTCCCCAACACCCTCCCTTTTCTTTTAGAATAGAAGCCTGGGCAGGTGGCAGGTGAGGAATGTGTCCTCCTCGGGTCTTACTTATCCACTTAGGATTCCCCCAACCCCCAAGCTGGGCAGTGGAGAGAGAGTAGGGGGGGGAGACAGAGTCAGCACTGGACCTCCCCCAAAAAGTATTCATTTCCCAGAAACCAAAAGCTCCCATGTTAAGGTGTCCCTTGAAAATCCAAGGCCTCAAGTCCATTACTTACCAGCCGGGCAGCCTTTGGACAAGTGACTTCACCTCCCACCAAAAAGAGGGAAAAGTGGGCACCTTTCAGGGTTGCTTGTGGATTAAACAAGGTGCTTGTCATTGCTGGCATGTATTCCATTCACACACAAAAATCCTCAAATCAAGATTATCCTTAGCCCTTGCCCATTGGACCTGGGCACAGCCTCATGACCCCCTTGACCCCCTTGATTTCTGGTCCCAGAAGCCAGCCACTGTCTGCCTATTACGTGCTGCTGGGCACCATCTCCTCCTACCCTGACGCCAGCGAGCCCCAGCAACTCCGGGCTGTGGCGAAGTTCATCAGCCACCCAAGCTACATGCACATACACAGCAGTGGGGACATCGCCCTGGTGCAGCTGACCTCCCCGGTCATCTTCAGTGACCTCATCCTTCCAGTCTGCCTCCCCAAACCCAGAGACCCGCTGGGTCATGGCACCTGGTGCTGGGTCACTGGCTGGGGGAATATCAACATAAATCTACGTAAGGACATCCAGAGCTGGTGGGAGGGGTGCGGGTGGGCGTGACTCAGTGGAGGCTGGTCCTGACATGCTCCCTAGGGACAGATACACCTGCCACCACTCTCACTCAGGCTGAACATGGCACAGCCCCAGCCAATGCAGAAGCAGCTCACCACTCCAGACCCCACCTTGGGCTCCCCAATGCATCCTCCCAGCATCCAATAACCAAAGGATTAATGCCAGGCCCAGCAGAGGGCTCTGGGATGCTGGCCCAACAGGGGCCCAGACCATTCTGATGGGCTAGGGCCTGTGCCATCTATGTGTTTACCCATAGAATTCAACCATCACCCCTGTCCACACGGGGCTGGGTCAGAGCCTGACTTCCTGGCCTCATCCTGGCTGAGTGACCTGCATCAGCCTTGCCAGGTTGTGGTTTCCTCCTCCAGTAAGTGGAGATCTCAAGAGTGCTAATTTCATGCAGTCGATGTGAGGCTTGCATGGGAGGACATATTTTAGGCATTTCCAACAGGGCCGAGCAAGAGTGGGTTCTCAATATTTATTAGTAACTGTCATCATCATGGTCACCATTGTCGTCTTCGTCGTCGTCGTCATCATCATCATCATCATGTTTGCAATATCACCTCAGATTAGTGTCCTGGGGCTACCATGATAAATGACCACAAACTGGGTTGCTTAAAACAACAGGAATTCATTCTCTCCCAGTTCTTGAGGCCAGAAATCTGAAATCAAGGTGTCACAGGGCCTTCCTCCCTTCAGAAGCTCTCGGGAAGGCTCCTTCCTGTCTCTTTCAGCTTCTGGTGGCTCCTTGGTTGGTGGTTGCATCACTCTGCTCCCTGCCTCGGCCTTCACTGGGCCCTCTCCTTGTATGTCTCCCATGTCCCCTCCTTTTCTGTCTGTTAGAAGGACACTCTTACTCTAATCCAGTCTGACCTCATCCTAACTAATTACATCTGCAAAGCCTCTATTTCCAATCAAGGTCACATTCTGAGATTCCAGGTGGACATGAAATTTTGAGGGGGTACTATTCAACCCACTTTTGACCTGACCCTTGGAAAGCCAAGAAGAGTAGGGCTATTTGGTGGAAGTGACTTGACCACAGTCCACGGCCAGAGCCAGGCCCTGAAACCAGGTCTCAGCCCTTGCCTTGGCCCCCACTGTGTAGCCATCCCACTCTCCTGCCCGGGCACTGGGAGGGAGGCTGAGGGGCCAGCCCACCCCTGTGCACGCCCTACTTCGGGGAAGAAGAGAACGTGTCTTCCTGGTGTTTTGTGTGTTAAACACTGGCTCACCTTGTCACCCTGACATGTTCATTGGGGTTTCCTGAGCACAAAGGCAGGTTGCTGTTCCTCAGGAAGCAGGGAAGCAACATGCAGAAATGACTTCTTGTCATCAATCCGTCGAAATGTGGGAAAGCCAGTCGAGAGCTAGTAGACCATAGTGTCCCCTCTGAGCTCTGCCCTCTGCTCCCCACCCCAGCGCTCCCTCCACCCTTCACCCTGAAGGAGCTGCAGCTGCCCCTCATTGACACCCAGACCTGTGACACCTACTACCATGAGAATTCTGCCACCCCCAGCCAGAAGCCCATCATCCTGGACGACATGCTGTGTGCTGGCTTTGAGAGTGGCGAGAAGGACGCCTGCGGGGTGAGCAAGCACCCCCAGTGGGAGCCCCAAAGCACATGGGGGCAATGTTTTTTTTAAATACAAAGGTCAATTCAAAAATACAAAAAAGCATTCCTGAACCCTTTCTCCCTTTCAAATGTCATATAAATATTATCAGAACATGGAATACGTTGAAAGTGTGCTTAAGCAAACTGACATAGTCCTCTCCCTAAAGCTTTTCCTTTGAGGCTAGGAATTTATTTTTTCTTTCCTAAATATAACACTCAGAGGCCCCCCACAAAAGAATGATCTTTAAAAAAAAATTTTTTTTCTTTATTGATTTTTAGAGAGAGAGGAGAGGAGAGGGAGAGACAGATAGAAACATCAATGAGAAAGAACACTGATTGGCTGCCTCCTGCATGCCCCCCACCGGGGATCAGGCCCACAACCTGGGCATGTGCCCTGACCAGGAATCAAACAGGTGACCTCTTGGTGCATGGGTCTATGCTCAACCACCGAGCCACAGTGGCCAGGCAACACTCAGAGGCTTTGAGCTAATTTTCCTAAGGAGTAGGTTACGTCTGAGCTGGATTGGTCTTGTCTTTTTCTTTGATTGTTCTTGTTAGCAAAACATACTTTTTCTCCCATTGCCTCTTAGTATTATTTTATCTCATATTTTTTCATCAAAATGAAGCAAACAGTACTATTAGCAATACAGAAGTGCTCTTCCGAGGCCTACTCTGAAAAACACAGCTTTATGCAGAGAATAGGGTGTTCCCAATACATTGCTTGTTCCACCTGCCAGAGATGTCATCCCTAAATTCCAAAACCAGCCAACCCTGCTGCCTTCCTGAAACATCCAAGCCACAGATGCTTTGTCTACTAGGCCTGGTCAGCAGTACCGAAGGGAGGTTGGTGGGACTGGGCAGGGGGTGCTGTGAACCTCAACTTCCCCCCTGTGTAAGGAGGGCAGCTGGCCCTGAGCAGTCCAGCCCTCTGGCTCTATACTTCTGGACTTCTTCTTTCTCCCCAGGGTGACTCCGGAGGCCCCCTGGTCTGTGACATTGATGGTGTCTGGACCCAGGCTGGGGTAGTGAGCTGGGGCTCTGGCTGTGGCCTCCCCAAGAGGCCAGGTGTTTACACCAATGTCAGTGTCTACACCACATGGATTCTCAGCACAATCCAGAACTCAGCCCCAGATGACAGAAGCTTCTCTCCAAGCCCTGCTGGGATCTTTTTCGTTGCCTTATTGTTGTCCCTGGGGCTTGCCTAATAAAGCAGCTCAACCCTGAGACCTCGGTCCCCACATTTCAAATTCATGCCCTCACTCTGCTCCCTGCAGTGAGCAGCTTCTCACAGGGATTTGCCCCAAGCCCTCCCCAGAACACTGCCTTCCACCATCCATCAATCCTTTGTCCTCCAGGGACCTTCTCTGGCTCCTTCCCTTCAGAAGTCTCCCCACTGCAATACCCCCACATCTCTTCCTCTTCAGACATTTCATATGTCTCCCATGGGCACTAAGCCACCCTCTCGCAATCCCTGCCAGCCTGTGGACCGCTTCACCCCACCCCAGGAACAGATCCTCGTGTTCCCTGCTTCTTGCCCACTATCCATGGCTGAGTTCCAGCATGTGCCCAGGCTCAAGGATTCCTTTGGGGGTTTCTGGGACTCTTGGACCTGAGGTTTCCAGCCCCCTGTGCTGGGCTGGTCCTTTTGCAGGCATGTCTGTCTGAAAGCAATAAAGATGACCTGGCAGAGGGCCATACCTTTTGCAGGCGTCCTCCCCATATCTTGGGGGCTGGGAGAGTGCGAAAGGATCTCCCAGTAGCTCTGAGAGATGCACATTATTATTTCCATTTTTCAGACAGGGAAAATAAGGGCTGCAAGCTGCAGGTCTTGCCCGAGCCCACTGTCCCTAGCAGCTCTGTCACCACACTCAATGGGTAGCAGAGCAACACATCTGGGAGGTCCTAGAGTCAGAGCAGGGGGTCAACCCCAGGGTCACGCGTAGACCTGGGGGGGAGTATTCAATCTCAGTGCCATGGGCAGACCTGGGGGTCATGGGCAGGGCTGAGGGTGAATCCACATCACCCTGGGCATAAATGGCAAAGGCTCAGGCCAGGCTGAGCTTGCTGTGTATCTCTCCCTCTTCTTCTGACCTATCTCTTCAGGGACGCCTGGGAACCGGCTGGAGATACGTCAGCTGGCAGCTGGAGGAGGGAGCACAGGCCTGGGACCTCAGGCAAAGGCTAGGCGGGTGTGCGAATGGGGGACCCTGTAGACCACTTCACAGGGCAGAAGAGACAGGAGGGAAAGGCAGGTTGAGATGCTTTGGGTTGGAGCCTCAGCCTCTGTCCTAAGACAACCCCAAACCCTCAACCTAAGCCTGGTTATCTCACCCATGGCTTAGTGGAGTGGTCACACCCTTCCACAGCTCTCACCTCCTCCTCTGGGGCAGCATGGCATGGGCCACCCACCCTCTACAGCCCCCGCTTTGGAGTCCATGGGCACTCCTGTCGGGGTGCTGCTGCTGGTGCAGCTGTTGGTGCGAGTCCCAGCTTGGAGGGACTCCCAGGAGCCGATGCTGGGTGACTTATCACTGTGAATTCCATGATAACCCTGGAGGCATTCAGGACACAGAGAGAGCTACCAGGCACAGCCTTCCTGGGACCCCATACAGAGTCACTGGTCACAGGAACACTGGGACAGACAACCTAGTGGGATCTCTCTCCCATTCTGGTGATTTCCTCCCCCCAGAACCTGGGGAAAGTAAGTATGCGAAAGATGGATTCAACTTTCAAGACTGAATCCAGAGGAGGAGGATGAGAAGGGCTGAGGCCTGCCACCAGGGGCAGTGGGGACTAGCCTAGCCGCCTCAGGAAGAGTCAGGACCCAAGGCCATCATTTCTTACAAGTCTTGTGAGGGATCTCCCTTCCTGGGCCAGCCTAACAGTCCAAGCCCACAACGGGCCTCAATGAAGACTTGTTAGTGTGCTTTCGTGGGAATCCTGGCTGAGGGCCAGGTGCTTGATCCTTCCTAGAAGGAGTGGGTAGAATAGGGGGCAGCCAGAATCCCAGGGTTGCAGGCAAGAAAGGGATTGTTTAGGTGCATAAGTTCCTGGGGATGTGGTTGGGGAGAAACTCAAAGCTGGGGCGCTGTGAGGTCAGATGTTCCCCAAAGCCCTTTGACCCAGAGAGGTCAAGGTTAGAGAACGTGGCAGCCAGGGTTCCGGTCCCCCACAGGGGGCGCTTCGGCCGGGCTCTGGAGCAGGCAGAAGCAGAGGGGGCGCCAAAAGGCAGAAGAGGAGGCCATGGGCTCTCAGGTCGTGGTGTTGCTGCTGGTACAGCTGTTGGTGCGAGTGGAACTCGACATGCTGGGTGAGCTCAGACCGAAAACGCCCGCCGACCTAGGGGTGATGGGAGTGGGATGGGGGGCATGGAGACCGAGGGGAGCTCACTTTCTTTTCTCCCCCTAGGGTGGTCGGAAGAGGACACGCTGTTTGCAGGTGACGCGCCCAGGACGCTCGCTTCCCTGCGCAATGCACCCGGGCTAGAGTGCAAAGTCGCCTCATCTTTTCATCTCTTTCTCCCCAGGTTTCGAGAACTCGTCGTTGCTTGCATGTAACTGATGGGCCCCTGGAGGGGGGGGGAGGGGCGGGCGCCTGCAGACCACGTGGGGCGGGTCCCCAGCGTCCTCCTTTCCCTTGGCTGCATGACCCCAGGATGCGCGTGGTTTCCTGGGGAGCCCCTTCCCTTGGCGCTCCACTGTGGGCGAGGGTGGGCAGATGGGCCTGTCTCCTGCAGCTGAGCCCAGTATCCGTCTGTCGATCCCAGGGCCATGTGGCCGACGAGCCGTGGGGTCTCGTGTGGTGGGTGGAAAGGACGCGACGCTCGGGCGCTGGCCTTGGCAGGGCAGCCTGCGCATATGGGGTTTCCACACTTGTGGGGCGAGCTTGCTCAACCGGCGCTGGGTGCTCTCAGCAGCCCACTGCTTTGAAAGGTGAGTCTGGGAGTGGTGGCCCATTGAACAGGTCCCTGGGTCTGCACCACTCACCTTATACACGGATGGACCGTCCTGTTCTTCTGAGCCCCAGGCCCCGCTGCAGCTGGTCACACCCATAGTTCCCAATGGTGCTCCTGCAGGGAAGCCAGTTCAATTTTTTTCAGAAGTCTTCTAGAACATTCCTGTGCACATTTGTGTATCTTGTTCTTTTCTCTTTCCTGTTCTCTTTTTCCCAAATGGCACTACTAGCCGTCACCTTCCTCATCCCAACTCCAGGTGGAGGTGTACCACAGGTGGCAGGAAGGGGCTGGGGTGGGTGAGTGCTGGGCACGGAGCCCGGCCTGGGCAGTGGCCCCTACGGCTGTTTTTTTGTTTTGTTAATCCTCACCTGAGGATATTTTTTCATTGGTTTTTAGATAGAATAGGGGGAAGAGGGCAGAGAGAGAGAGACATCGATGTGAGAGAGACACGTGGATTGGCTGCTGCCTGGGGCTGGGGATCAAACCTGCAACCCAGGAACATGCCCTTGACTGGGAATTGAATCTGCGACCCTTTGGTTCGTGGGCCGATGCTCTAACTGCTGAGCCCCACCTGCCAGCACCCCTAAAGCTGTTTTGATTCCACTCAGCTGAGCGGTCCACTTTGACACCTCTGCACCTGCTCATTCTTTTTTTAGGATAGCTCTGAGAGGGGACAGGCTGGTTAAGTGACTTGCCAGAGCAGACCACAGGGGGAGGTCTGACCTGCCCCCAGCTCTCAAGTCCCCAGGTTTTGAGGTGGTGGTTTTGGCTTCTCTGGGCTCTCAGAACTCTTGGGAGCAGGCCCAGGTGTGCCCTGGTGGCTCCCCCTCTGATAAGGCTTCCTGACTGCTCTCTCCTCTCTGCCAGCTACCGGGAGCCCTATCAGTGGTCAGTCCAGTTTGGCGAGCTGTCTGCCTCACCGTCTATCTGGAACCTGAAGGCCTATCGCAACCGTTATGGGATAGAGCAGATCTTTCTGAACCCCAAGTATCTGGGTGGTTCAACTTATGACATTGCCATGCTGAAGCTGTCCTCGGCTGTCACCTATAGTCATTACATCCAGCCCATCTGTGTCCTGGCCTCTTCTACTGAATTCCAGGACAGGAATGACTGCTGGGTGACCGGCTGGGGGAACATCCAAGAAAGTGAGGGTAAGGCTGGGAACAAGTGCTGGGTCTGGGGATGGGGAGCAGGGGCATGACCCTCCACCCCATTCCAGCTGCACCAGCCCCACCCTAGTCTCCGCATGGCTGGGACCCTTTGTGTGCTTGCTCAACATTCTCTTCCCACCTGCTGTTGACTCCTGCCTCCCTGAGAGGGCAGGACTTTCTATACTGACACTCAGTCCGCACCCCCCCCCCCCCCGAGACTGTGAGCCAGAAGCTAGTGGTGAGAGGGAGACCAGCTTGACCCAAGCTTACTCCCATCCTACAGGGGTGTGGGGGTGAGACGGGAGAGCATGTCAGAAAGGCCTCAGCCTGGTGCCCACCCCACCCCCAGGTATCCAATCTCCCCACTCTGGCTCCTCAATACCTTCTTTATCTATTCAAGTTGGCCTACCCTTCTGGAGTGCTGAGCCCATTTCTCTATCCTCACAATTTCAAGCTATCCTCCAACTTTGGCTCAGCAGGAGGTCCTTGAGCCAACACAAGCAGCCACCTGCTAATCTCACACCATGAATCCCCAGAAACCGCAGGGCACAGCCTTCCCCAGGTGCCTGGGGTAGGGGAGGCACAGGCCCTCTGCCTGGACTTCCCCTTATACTGCTCCCTGGACTCCTGCCTCACCCTTAACAATAGTAATAACAACAGAGGAAGCTCCTGCCTGCACACCGTGCCTAGCACTGTTCTAGGCTCTAGGGACTCAGGAGTGAGCAGGGTACCATTTATCTTCCTTCAGGAGCTTACCTGCAAATGAGGCTGGGAATATTTTTACACCTAGACGCTGACAAGGGTATGGAAATTGCCCAAAGTCCCAGAAGGAGTCAGTAGAGAAGCTAGGGCTCTCCCTACATCACACATCTGGAATTGGCAGAGGGGATAGAGGAGTCAACACGACCTGCCTTCCTCTAGAGTCAGGGTCCTTTCCTTTCCCCTGGAAGGGACTGAATAGAGTGTCTTGCTATAGACCTCCCTGGCCCCAAAGGGCCACATGGTGTGAGCCAGGCAGACGCTGCTCCCTCCCTGGCCCAAGGCTCACAGGTAGTCACATCCAGCCCCAGGCTCCACACTCATTCTCACAGGTGGCAGGTGGCAGGTGACTTCTGGAGCCTCCCTGCCTGGTGTAAAGCTTAGTTCTGCCATGTGCTAGCTGGAAGACCTTGCACAAGCACTTCATCTAACTGTGCCTCAACTTCCTGACCTGTAAAATGGAGTAATAACAGTCCACACCTCATTGGGTAGCTCTGAGGTTGAAAAGTATTCACACAGAGGGTTTAGCAGAGTGCCTGGCAGACAAGAGGCTCTGCTGACACGTCAGCTTTTGGTGTTATTGTGGTCACTATCCTCTGCCCAATAAGGCAGTGATCTCAGCCCAGACTTAGGAATTGGATGGACCTGGGTTCATGTCAGGCTCTGCCATTTCTCAGGTGCATCTTTCCTTACCTGAAAATGGGTCACGATTGTGCTGCAGCCTGGGGGTGCTGTGGGAGCACTAAGAGTACATAGGAGCCCTGGCTGGTTTGGCTCAGTAGTCAGACTGTCGGCCTGCGGACCAGAGGTTCGCGGGTTTGATTCCTGGTCAAGGGCACGTACCTGGGTTGCAGGTTTTATCCCCAGCCCTGGTTTGGGTCGTGTGGGAAGCAACCAATTGATGTGTCTCTCTCACATTGATGTTTCTCTATCTCTCTCCCTCCCTCCCTTCTGCTCTATCTAAAAATCAATGAGAAAATGTCCTCAGGTGAGGATTAATTAAAAAAAAAAAAAAAGTGCATAGGAAAGCTCTTGGCTCAGGCTCTGAAATGTATTCATCCTAAAACATCTCAGCTGTGTTAGCCTCCTCCCCTGTGCATGCAAAGGTCTCTCTCCACTGGCTCTGGCAGGGGCTGTCACCTGCATGTTGCATACAAAGAAACTGAGTATCAGGGAGGAGCTGTAACAGCCTGTCCAGCAGAGGACTCATCAAAGCACTATGGGTACCCCAGGGACCCTGCCCTCCCCTGGCCCCAGCCCCTGCCCTGTCATAAACACCATTTCTCCCAACCAGATGCAGAGGAGAGGCTCAGGATGCTGTTTTTCTCTGTCCCCTCAACTCCTATGTAGGGCTGCCGTATCCCTACACCCTCCAGGAAGTGCAGGTTGGCATCATCAACACCACCATGTGTAACTACCTCTACTCACAGCCTTATTACCGCCAGACCATCTGGGGAGACATGGTTTGTGCTGGTGATCCTCAAGGCACCAAGGACGCCTGCTTCGTGAGTGTTCTCCCCACCCCAACCAGGACCTCTGGGTCCTAATCTCTCACCAACCCAGCCCCAGGACTGAGAGCCACCTGTATCATTTGGTCCTCATGGCAACCCAAGGGTTTGAGACTATTGCCCCACTTCACAGATGCAGAAACTCGGTCACTTCCCGGGGGAGGAGTAAGATTTGTACCCAGTCTGCCCAGCCCAGTCTGCCCAGCTCCACAGCCCTTCCTGCTCTCCCTACTCCTCTGCTAACCCCTCCTATCCTGCCCCAGGCCATGCTCACTCATTCTGCTCCCCAGGGAGACTCAGGAGGACCCTTGGCCTGTGAAAAGGAAGGGCTGTGGTATCAAGTTGGAGTCGTGAGCTGGGGAATAGGCTGTGGTAGGCCCAACCGGCCCGGTGTCTACATCAACGTCAGTACCCACTACCAGTGGATCCGGACCCTGATTTCCCGCAGCAGTATTCACAGGCCACAGCTCTGGCTGCTGCTGCTGCTGCTCCTCCTCTGGATGGCCCCACTCCTGCAGCCAGCCTGAACCCAACAGAGCCCCGAGAGTCAGGGCTGTCTGCTGCACCGGGCCCAGGCCCCTTCTGTCCTGTTTCTAATAAACATATTTGCATATTCTAGTGGATGCTTGAACATTCTATGGACTCAGGTGGCTTTCTGGACACCCTCATGGTCACCTGGGTCCTGTCCACCCCAACACCACTCCTTAACTCCTAAATCTCCACCCATCTGTATTATGATGGGTTTGGGTTGCAAACAGCAGAACCTTCTTGGGTTAGCTCAATCAGAAAGATAATTTATGGAAGGACATTGGTAGCACCAGGGTACCTGGGAGCTCAGAAGACTGGAGTGGGGGTACTGGGAGGAAATGTCCCCAAACACCCCCGTGCTTATGCCAGTGACCCCATCACAGACACCAGGTGCTCCTGGTCTTACTGCAGTCCCCCAAAGGCTGACCTAGGACCAGGACTGAGGTGCAGGTAGTTTATTTGTGAGGTAATAATAAGAAGCCCCAGTAAGGAGTGGGGAAACTAAGGCAGAGAGAGAAGAATCGACATTTTTTCTGAAAGAGGAAATGACTGTGTGGGGCCCTCTGAGAAACCATGGGGAATGTGCCCTAGCACTGGACCCCTAGAGGACAGGGGTGCTGGGTGTGGGCATGCCTCTCCTGACCCCCATGGGATTCTACCGATGTGATTAAATTAAGGACTCGAGATGGGAGATTTTCCTGGATTATCCAGCGGAGCCCCATGTAATCACAAGTGCTCTTAAAACTGGAAGAAGGAGTCAGAAGAGGAAGTCTGAATGATGTGATATGAAAATGACACAACCCACTATTGCAGGCTTTGAAGACAGAGGAAGGGCCACGAGCCAAGGACTGAGGGCGGCCTCTAGAAGCTGAAAAAGGTGAAGTAATGGGTTCTCTAGAGTCTCCAGAAAGGAATGCGGCCCTGATGACACCTTTATTTGAGCCCAGTGACATACTTGTCAGAATTCTAGCCTACAAACTATAAGACAATAAACATGTTGCTTTAGAACACTGAGTGTGTGGTAATTTGTTACAGCAGCAATAAAAAAAAAAAAAAGTAATACATTACGTAAGCCTGCATTCCTGCAAGTCCAGGGTGAAGATTCAGAAAACCGGAGATTCAGAAGACAAAAACAGTGAAATCAGTGGGACGTGAAGAGATTCGAAGATGACAATGTGGCAGGACCAGAAAGCAATCAGATGAGTAAGTCAGCAGGCTTCAGGCTGTGAAATGGAATGGAATGGATTAGAAAAATAGAATAAACAAGAAACTGCAAGAAAAAAAGACAATCAGAAATGTTGGGAGTGAAGGAGTCAGGACTATGCAACAAACTCAAGGTCCAAAATAAAACACTATGTCCTCCAGCTTCTAGCCATGAAATGGCCAGGCTGACCCAGCCCTGACTGGGAGAGCAAGGTCGCATCAGATTCACCAGGGACCTAACATGAGGTGGAAGTGGGAGAGGGTTTGGGGTTCAGAGGGAACTTGAAGACAGAAGAGTTGAGAGAGGGAGCCCCCTAGTGGTATCCACCCGACAGCGCACAACTCCCTGGTATGTCAGAATGGGAATCTTGACTAGTGCAGGCATCCCAGGTGACTGCACTCACTCCCAGCTGGCTGGAGAGGTTCATGTTAGAGATCCTCAATGTTCTGGGGAGACAGGGAAGCTCCCCATGGGGCCAGAATAAGCCCCTGGGGTTAGGAAGCAGGAGGGAGTAGGAAGGTCTTGGGAGGTGGGCAGCAAGACCCAGGCATATAACCAGCCCTGTTTGCTTAGGCCCAGGAAAGGACAAGATCCCTACACTGATCCTTTCCTAGGGAACAGCACTGGAACCTGGGTCCTGGCTTGGCTGGGAACCTGTAGGGCCAGCAAGGGCTGGACTCAGGATCATCTGAGGCAACACTAGGAAGGCAGGCCCAGATCAGTGGCAGGATTGGGTGGGGGCACCCAAGGCATGGCTGGGGGAGGAAAACAGAACAGCTGACTGGGCCACCCATGGCCCAAGGGGACAGGGGACCCAGACTCGGAGCCCCGGGCCCAATGCAGGCCTTGTTGTGGAAATGAGGGTAGAATGGCGGTGGGGAGTGCAATCCTGTCTTCCTGGAGCTCATTACTCACGAGTAACCCTAATAGACCTGTGCCTGCCAGCCTGCCTTCAGGAACACCACCTCGTCATTGCGGCAACAGCCAGTCAACAAATAAATGGACCAAACCAAGAAATATTTATACCTTACCCTTCCTCCAGATTCTCAGGCAGATTAGCTGCAGGCTGGGCCTGAATGGGAAAGAAGAGATGACCTGGGCGGGTGGGTCGGTCCTCTGGGCCCCTCTACTGAGCAGTGTGGGGCTGGTTCTGGCCCTTAGGAGATTCCTGAGGTGCCCCCTGGAGGCCTCATCTTCCCTGACCCTCCTGGTAGGGGGTGTTTTCCACATACCTGGGGTCACAGGTCTCTGCTTCTGCCACACTGCTGTAGGGTTTGGACAGCACCCCTCCTGGCTCTGGGAGGAAGTCCTCACGTCCTGGGGACAGTCAGAAAAGGAGACACCACCTGGTATAAAGAGAATAAGGATGGTGCTGCCCTTGGTCTGGCTGCCTCCTGCTTCAGGAGGAATTCCCTGGACCCTTCTATTGTGCACCCACCCCCCCTTGAAGGAGCAGCGGGCTGAGCCAGCCATCCCACTGTTCCCACCTCACACTGGCCGTCCCTCCCTCACACCTGATCCCCCTCAGCATCTGCCTCTGGAGAACCTCAGAAACAAGTGGTCATCCCTTTTTCCTCTAGGGACACCCTCACTTATCTAAAGAAACAGCTCTCTGCCCTGGCCGGTTTGGCTCAGCGGTTAGAGTGTCAACCTGCGGTCCAGAGAGACCCGGGTTCGGTTCCCAATAAGGGTACATACCTCAGTTGCAGTTTGTCCCCAGCCCTGGTTGAGTTGTGCGGGTGGCAGCCACTCGATGTGTCCCATTCATGTTGATGTTTCTCTCTCTCTCTCTCTCTTCCTCTCTCTCCCTCCCACTCTATCTGAACAACAACAACAACAACAACAACAAAAGGAAAAATGTCCTCAGGTGAGGATAAAAAAAAAGAAAGAAAAGAAACAGCTCTCTCAGGCTGTCAGAAGACCCCGCGGGTGCCCTGTGGGCATTATTTGAATTTAGACGTGTCCTAATCTATATAACCAGACAGGGAGACTGCCTAACTGTCTTCCAAAGTGACTGTACCAATTTTGCGTTCCCACCAGCAATGAATGAGAATTCAACTTCATTTTTTTTATATCTAAAAATTTATACCTACCCTATAGACTGTTGTGAAAATGAAATGAGTTAATACATCAAGTACTCAGATGTATACCTGAAACAGAGTAAGCACTATGTATATGCTAGCTGCTACCATCATTATCATCATCTGAGTCTAGCCGGCAGGATTTTGAGAGGAAGAGAGCTCCCAACTCCTGAGGCCCCAGCATAAAAAACCGAGCCAAGATGACCACCATACTCCCCCTTCTCCTGACTGATCCTAAGACCTCCCAGCTCTCCTCCTCATCTATGAATCCTCTTCAGCAGTGGTTTCAGTGGAACCTCATTTCCAAGTGAAGTTAGTGGACTTTATTTGTAAAAGGACTCTAGGATCACAGATTTTTGGGAAAGTTAAATTCGTTTCTTCATTGCAGGACTTTTCGGTGACTTTGATATACTAAAATGCATCAGGAATCTGTAAGAGGAAATATAGTGGGCAGAATTCCGCAAACTTATTGACCACGGAACCCTGGTTTTGGAGGAATTTCATAAGGGACTTGTGAGATGATGCCCCATGGTCTCTAGGGCCAACCTGGATCTTCACGATTCCCTTGGTCTTTCCCTCTTGTGGGATCCCTTGATCAGACATTCTCTGTCTTCTCAGGTGGATTCTTCTTCAGTAAAAGCACCTTCCTTTCAGGACCTGCCCCTGCCATGTGCCCCATACAACAGAAGGGGGCGCCAGTGAGCTGAGACGGCTCTGCTCAGGTGCTTATCTCCAGGTTAGAAAATGGCACGGAGTCCTGGGTCCTCACTGGATATTTACTAAATAAAGCAGTTATGTAAAAATGCAGGTAACTTAAGGTGACTGAAGCTATGCTTATTTCCAATCTATGTGGTGATGACCCCAGCCCTCTGCCTCCCTGTCCCCATCATCCCATTTCAGTCTCCAGGCTGAGCAGCCTCACTCTGCAGTCCTTCTTCACTGGTGTCTCCCTTTCTCTCCACCTCTAGGAGGTCTTTCCCTTTCTGAGTCTATGACCAGGTGCAAAGCCACGTATCCAGATCATCTACCTGCAAAAGAAGCTCATATTCCTTTTAAAGTGAGAAGTGGATCATGGCTTGAAGAAGAACTTGCACACACCCTGTCTTTCTCAGTCTGATCACACCGCTGCCCTGGACAACTGTTTAAGATAATGGGAGAGCCCTGGCCAGTATGATTCAATGGTTATGTTGTAGACCAACGAGACAGACCAGACTCAGACTCCGAACTGGGTTCAAATTAAGAGAGCTTTATTAGCCACACAGCGACTGTCCCATCCTGCGCAGAGGAGAGAGCAGCCCCAAGCTCAGGGGGAGGGCTGCTTAGATAGTTTTCTTAGCCCCTGTTAAGAAATTGGGCTAAGGGTCTGCGAGCAAGCAAACATGTACAGAAATGGATATCTGCGGTTAGCCATTATGTCTGAGGGGTAAGCAGTTCTATTTGCACAATACAGTGGTCAGGTCCGGCTGATGCCTATCTCCTTCCCTCCTGCCTAGTTCCTGTAATCCTCTTAGGGTCCAGGGCAAGGTCTACCAAGTGGGAATTTTTTTTTTTTTTTAATAGTAAGAACATTTTATTTTATTTTTATCCTCACCCGAAGACACTTTTCCATTTTTTTTTTTCAGATAGAGTGAAAGGGAGAGAGAGAGAGAAACATCGATGTGAAAGGGACATATCAAGTGGCTGCCACCCACACGACCCAACCAGGTCCAGGGAC